CTGTAAATACAGCCACTGTGTCAAAGACCTATTTAAAAGCATACCAGAGAAGAACAAAACCTACTCAAGACAGAAAAATACAGAGCCCATATGCTAATGGAGCAGGTCCTTGAGCCATTTTGTGAGGTTTGTCTAGATGGTTTGATGCCCTCTCAGTAGCAGTTAAAGAGAAACTCACTGCCTGGTGGTTGGGGAATAGGTGGTTTGTGGGGAGTGGGCACATCTCATGTGAGTGTTTACGAACATGGGTGGGAGGGTTATGAGCCCTCACTGTCTGGGACACAGCTTATAAAGCTACCTCAGACAAGAAATCCCACCTCTCTCCTTCTCTTGGTACTTCATTTAAATGGCCCAGAAATGGAAGTAGGTGTGGGGATGCTCATGATACAAAAGGGGTGGTGGTGGTGGTGGTGGTGATGGCAGGGCCGTGATAGGGGAGGGAGGCAGAGGAAGGAGAGCAGCTCTCCAGCTGCAGGTGGGTCAGGGGGATGGGGACCAGCAGGGAGGCACAGCATGACACTCCTGTTAAGGCCAGCTTTCTGCAGGACAAGGGGCGATGCAAGCTGGCCAGTGTGAGACTGCTGAGCGAAAGCTGGTTTTACAGAAGGGCTGGCAGCTCCTGTGGGGAAAAGCAGGTGTCTCTGATGGTGTTTACATCAGACACTTCCAATCAGTGGTCACGTAAAAAAAAAGGCTTAGGATTCTAGTTGCTCCTTTTTTTCCTTTCTTGTCCCTATTTCAATAAGTTTACCACATGACATTCAATAAATGAAATTCCAAATTTCTTAATTCCTTCATTCATTCCTTCTTTGCCTAAAATTTACCTTGACCAGTTACTTCCCTCACTGCCCCTTCTCTCCTGTTCTGAGTCTTTCCTTGCCTTTCCTCCCAATTCCTCTGCCTTTCCCCCGTTGCCTCTGGTTTTCTCTTGGGCTCCGCATCCCTGTGTCTGCCTCATCCCTCATGTTATTTCCTATTCCCTTCATCTGTGGGACTTCATGGGGTGCAGAGGCATTTCTCACCTGTGTAGTAGTCTACAGTAATCCACCACTCAGTAATCTGTGGTGCCTTGGCCCCCTTTCCCACAAATCTGCCCCTCCAGATGTGCACGCACATCTGTACAGAAGGTACACGTACTCCCAGAGCCAGGAGGCTGGAGTCAAACCCAGTTCAGGGAACTGCCAGCTTCAGTGGGATTCCCCCCTTCAATTCCAGAGCTCCTTCGGTGTTGGATGAGACATGGATGGCAGGCAGTTGTGTTCCTTACCACATCCCTGGAATAAAGTCGGGTACTCCACTGATTAGTGCAGTTTGAGAGAAGAGAAATGTGCTGAAAATTAAGCATTTGTTGTCTTACAATGGAAAATATTTAAGTAAAAATGCTTTAAATTGCATGAAGGTGTTTTGTAAGAGAACTGTCATATACCATGAGACAACTTTACCGGAAAGAACATCTATAATGAGAAACAAATCACACTGACCTTTGCTATAGGGCTTGAAAGCAGGTTTCTTTGGGGTTGTGGAGATTTGTTTGCCCTCCAGCAGTGGAAGAATTAAGATGTTATGTTTAACATAAACAAGAGAGGTTTAATCCCAAATCCTCATGTGAGAGCACTTTGTGTTCTCTTAAAAGTTCAGTAATTCCATAAGCAAGATGGACAGTTGGGTTATTTTAGGCTCAACAAAATCAGGGGCAGGACAGAAGGGACATCAAAGGGAATTAACTCATCAGAGTAAGAACCCAGTTGTGAAAACTGAACAGAATGTGAGTTCAATTGCATTAACTATACGTGGCGCTAAGATCTCTCATTATAAGATGCCTTTCTCCCCTTTTCGTTTTATCCAGGCAAACTCCAGGGAGAAAGGTTGGTCTGCATGGGACTATCCCAAGTCAGGGCCATGCAGCCTCCTGGACACGCATGCCCGTTCCTGCTCAGTCAGTAATAGCATGAGAGTCATGATTCTCATTACCATATGGGCTCTACACAAGATACTCTGAGGTCAGATGCTGGTTTCTGAGTGATGAAGGAAAGGTAAGGTGGTTCCTGCAGACTGGAAGGCTGCACAGGGAGAGATGTTGTCTCTGATGACCTGCCTCTGCTGGATCTATCTGCACATCATCTCTGCACTCAGCAAAGACAGAGCAGACTTTGGTTTGGGAGCGTCTTGGCCCTTTTGAAAGGCAACCCCTTCCCCAGCTCAGGTTTGTCCTGCTGCTTTTTGGCTGGGGGCGCAGAGAGAAGTCAGCCCCAGCAATCTGGTACCATTTAGCAGCACTAAATTCTCTTTAGGAAAGGACAGTGTCAAACATGTTACCTCCAGCTGTGATTCAAAAATTAAAACAAATTCAACTCTTTGAAAACATAGGAGGGACAGGATATAAATCCAGAAAACTTGAGCTATTAAAGCAAAGGCAAAACATTTCATGTCTCCATCTTTTTATTTCCAGACAAGAAGCCAAAGTCCCATAATATCACTGCTGCATTAGGACTCAGACGTGTACAGCATCACTTTCTTCATTACTCTGCTGTGATGCCGCAACTGAAGAGACCCAGTGTGAGTGACTAGGTGCAAGAGGGATGATTGCTCTGGCCCAAAACCAGGCCAGAATTGCCTTCACTTGACTGAGCTAGGATTGAAATGCAAACTGCACTTTGCCAATACAATTTTTCTTCAGGAGTGACCGATGGAAATTGCTCCATACTTCCGTAATGCTGGCTAGCAGAATAAAGGTGGTTTTTGGATGAAGGAGCAGAAAACCAAACAGGAGTGGTGGTGCTGCCCTCTTCCTGGCTTTTTGGAGACTAGTCTCTACTATCCAGTGTTCATCTCTGGTCTCTGCAGGAGAAAAGGATGCTGAAAATCTGGGGCAATCAAGCTACAACAATGGCTGATAGTCTCGTCATCCTGCCACTGAGTAAAAGAAACTGTTTGTATTCAATTTATTCGAGGGACTGCTTGTTTAGTGGATTATAAATGCCAAAACTGGGTGAGGATTTCTAATAAGAGGGTTTTTTTTTCAAGTAGCAGACAACAGCACAACATAATCCCATGGCTGGAAGCCGAAGCTAGGCAAATCTAGAATGGGAAAAAGCACAAGGTTTTAGCATTGGAACAACTCACCAAGGGATAAGCTTGCTTTTCTACCATCTGAGATTTTAAAGTGAGGGTTGGATGTCTTTCTTCTGCTCTCTTCCTTTAAATTCAGTTATGATCTTGACACAGGAGTCCCTGGATGACATCTTCTAGCCAGTGTGGTCAGATTACACTTTTCTAATGGTCCCTCTGCCTTTAAAACATCTGATATATAAGAAGTGCATTTACCTGGACCAGGGTTCACCCCAGGGACAGGGGAATTAGACATCTTTATTCATTCCTCCACAGCTGTGGGAATGATATGTTTAGATATTTTTCCCATCGCCAGTTTTGTCAGTGGTATGTGTTATGCAGATGTGTGTCTACTGGGAGCTATGCTCAGACAGCACATTTCACATTGATTTATGAACAGACTTCTGAGCGCGGCAACTTCTGGCCTCCGCTGACTTGGGCTGGAATCAGCTTGCACGTTGTTGCTATTCTTATTCTTGGACCTGCAGTCATGGCTCACGAACCAGATGCTGCAGAAACGCAGAGCCGAGGAGGTCCTTGCCTCAGAGCTCTTCTGTAAGAGCCTGGCATGAAGCAAGGGGTGGATGCGGGTAGCCAAGGGAGCCCAGGGAAAAGACGGGTGGCGAACGTGATCAGTAGTGGTGGGCTAGAAAAACAGTGTGTGTAGCAACAAGTTGGGTGGACAGTGGTGGGCCAAGGCTGGGTCTGCCCAGGAAAAGATGCTGCAGGACTCAAAACGTGAGAGGAAAGAGCCTGCACAGCATCTTGGTTGTGTAAATGGTGGGAAAGGCAGTGTCTGGGGGAAGCTATGGGGAAAGTGTCTACACAACCTTGAGAACAGAGAGGAAAGTCTAAGGTGAGGATGACATCCAGGTTGGAAGCCCAAGCGATGGGTAAGAGGAGGTGATAGTGCCAGTGATTGAAAAAGGGAGAAAGGGTCACTTGGAATGAGAGTAACAGTTCCCCTTCAGCCACGATGGGTCTGAGATGGGGGCCGGATGTCCCCAGATGTTAGGGAGCCAGGCTGAGATGGGAGTTTGGGTAGGAGGACACAGCTAACAGGACAGAGGTCCGTATCCAAAGGAAACTGCATTTAAATTGGTGAGATTTGTCAGAGATCGGGGCAGAGGGAGAGGAGAGCAGGACCCTGTGGGCATGGTGAGGGCAGGATGGGGAAGATGGACAGTGGAGAAAGGTAAAGGCCAAAGGGGCCAAGAAAGGGCAGAAAGATGCAATGAAGGTGTAGGCAAAGATCTCCATCCATACCAACTCTTTGATCCTTCTACTCACTTTTCCATTCAAATTCAAAGTGGTATTGCAGAAAGTCTTTTTACTGCTGTGCATAAAGTAAATCTTTGCAAACTCTTTGAGACAGCAGTGTACTCCCAGCTGATCCCCAAAGACAGATCCTGTTTCTTCATGGTCATTATTACTCTTCAAAAGAAAGAAACATAAAGAACTACAGGGAACTTTGGCCAGGGAATGTTTTTTTTTAATAGGAATCACCCAGCCCAGACATTGGTACAAAAATAGTTAAATATGATGGACCAAATGTCAAACTATGAGAAGAATTACTTAGATTAGAGAAGCATAGAGAGAAGAAGGTAATGAAAACATCTCTTCCTGTGGGGACACTAACACAGCCAAATATTAATCTTTGTAGGTTGCCCAGTTTAAAGAGGGGTGGGCAGGTGGAAAGAAATCTGGGTTTGATATTTTGTACCCTGGACTACAAAGGAATCACTGTGGATATATAAATAAAAGACAGCTGGGCTGAGGTTTCAGATCACCTACACCCATCAGAAAGGCAGCCAGACTCCGAGCACCGTGCTCTCTTGTTTGATACCTGGACTAACACTCAACTCTGTCAATACTTTAAAGGCAAAGAGAGAGACAGAGCAGAGCTATGTTTTATTAAAAGGCTTAAATCACCCGCATCACCACAGAAACAGCAAAGAAAATGACACAGCCCAGAGGGAAAAACCTTTGGTTTAAATATCTGTAAAGATGTGTGGAAGAAAAGGAAGAGCTCCTGCCTGGGAAAACACAAGGCTGTCTCAAAGTCTACAAGGCTATCTAAGCGGAGGAAGTGAATGAATAACTGTGGCACATGCATGAGTGGCTGAAAGCGCAGCCTGAGCAGTAATTGGCTCTATTGATGCTCCCCTGATTAGCTGGTTTTGGCTACAGCACTTGTCAGACCCACGCTCAGTTCACAGCACAAAAGTATTCACGCTGCACTGAAGAACGTCTCAGATCAGCCAGTGGATCCCTGCAGAGAAACAGCAAACACAGATCTGAAGGATGCGGTCTCCAGGGAGGGTTTCTAAATCCTTACTTCATGTCACTAATTCCTTGTTATCCAGAGCTGGAAGAGAAAGGACTCCTGGAGCATATTCAGATGCTCCTGCTACTTTTCACTATCTCAGAAATAAAGGAAGAGAGAAGAAAATTGATGGTGCTTCTGTGGAGAGAAATTTAAGAGCAAAATCATGTTAATCACTGTGATCTGAATGTACACAGTTCTAATTCTTTACTAAAATATTGATCTGAAAGTTGCTAATGAACTCAAACAGCAAATAGGCCAAGGGACCAGTTTGTTGGGATGGGAAGGAAAGGTTACCCACTGATGAATCTCCGGAGAGCCTCCTGACAGGGAGAGGTCTCAGCTGGGGACATCTTGCAGAGGGCACAGGAGAAGACAAGCCACCCCAAGCCCTTACAATGGCACTGGGCACAGCACCAGCAAACATAAATGGAAGAGAACAAGGAAATCAGGCACTTTAAAGTGAGAGCTATTATTATTTTTATGTGAAGACTTACATACCTACTGCATCTGCTCCAGAGTTATGGCCAACACCTCCTTTCAGCTCATTCAGCTCTGAAGTCAGCTGCATGGACTCCCGCTGTAGCCTCAAAACACCGACATGACAACTCTGCAGGATGATAGAGACATTCCAAAGAACATTAATTACTCGCTTCCACACTCTAGTAATCACCAGCAAAACGAGAGTTGGAGAGCATCACCCAGAGCCAGCGTATGCCAGCAAATGCTGTTATGTTTTCTGAGATGGCTTACTGATTTAAGCACTCTCGCCAAATATAAGCAGTTTAATTTAGACTATTAATGGTAGCATTAAGGAAAGACACATCCATATTTTGGGTGTGAGCTGCCCGTGTCCCTCCCTTTCTCATCCTGGCCTCCCTCCCAGCTGCTACATGGTGGCTAACCGAAATGTGAGGAATAGCAGAACAGATCACAGCTTAGATTAGATATTTCCAAAGTGGTTTGAGGACAGTTGACCATTACTCACTTGCAACACACAGTAAACAGAGATGAAGCTTAAATATGAGGCTCTTCTACCCAGACGATATCAATCTCGTATGTATACACAGAAGAAATAGCAATTGTGTTTCACGCAAGCTAAGATTTGGTTCCCAGGACAAAACCAACCAACCTACGGTTACAAACATCTCATCAGCTTCCTGGGGCTCTACCTCCTCAGCAGCAGTGCTGGAGTAATAACATACCTGTATGTTGCTGCCCATACCTGACACAAGATTCATGTTGCTGAGGCCACTAGGTTCTGAAGCCAGTTGTACCACTTGGAGAGGCCATGGAGAGACCATGGAGAGACATGGAGAGACCACCTTGGATGGGCTGAACATGTCTCCCGTCACTTGCAGCACTTCTCTCCTTCTTCACATGACCCCCATGTCTTCGCCTATGTCTTGAAGCACTGTTTCTCAACAGAAACCTATCTATGAGGTTCGTACCAAGGCCTCCATGTACACTGGATTGCACAAAATGCCTCCAGGACTGCCCCAGCCTTGTCTGAAGTGAACAGCAGCCTCAATTATTTGTTGTCCTCCTTAGCTCTTATTTATGTATCTAAAATCTACTGAACGAGGCTCTGAAACCCTCTCTACCGCAGTGTAGTCCCTTCAGTTTCCAAAGCAAAAGCAGTTTTTCCTGATGGTTAACATTAAAAAAAAAAAATTGAGCTTGTTGGTCTGTTGGGATTTCCTGATTTCCTGAGGTTATTTTCTTCAAAAAATTTTTTTCAGGATTGTCCTTTAAGCTTTTTCCTGAAAGTTGTGAAGCAATTTGTTGATCTTCAAGAAATATATTATTAAAAAAAGTTAGAAAAGCTCTATCTGTCATTCTGGAGTTTTTGTTAGGGAAAAAAATCAAAGTCTGTTTCTGTTTTAGCAAGAACCAACTTTGCTGTTCTTGTGTAAAGCTATGCTGAAATACATTGTGGGACCATGCCATCATGAAATATGAATATTACCTTTGTTAAAGTCTTCAGCCCATTTTCTGCACACAGCTGAGTCTGATGAAACTATTCCAGAGGGAGACACTTGTCACAGAAGAAGTCTTGTCTCACTGTCATGAACTTGGCTCAGCATTATTTAACTGATGATTCATTATTTTGCACATTATTTCAAACACCAGTCATGCACAAGGACCCCCTATATGGGGCACAGCACGAGCATGGAACAAAAAGGCAACTTCTGCTCCCAAGAGCCTAGTCCTTGTAGAGGACTGGAGAGGCAGATGGAGGCTACAGACAGACGGAGGATGAGATTAAAGAAACCAGCCAGGACATGCTGTCAAACTTTTAGTAACCATCACAGCTAGGGAGACATTTAAGTGGGACCATGTCTCCATGATATTCATATTCTAACAAAAGTTTTTAAGGGTCCTATGCCCATTCCTGACTCTATTATCCCCAGTCAGATCAGATGTGGGAAAAAGAGAATACTGAAATAGAAAGAGGCTAATTTCAGGCTGTGGGTGGTGTGGGGCCCCCAGGGATCCCTGAGAGAAGCTCCACAGCAGTTGATATGTGGGGAGAGGGTCAGTCTCTGAGCCATCTGCCAAGAAGCTGGAGAAGCCTGAAGCTGCCTCAGCCAGTTCTAGGACAAAAGAATGGGAAGCGAAAATATATTGAGAGCTGGCTTTTTATTTTTGCTCACGAGAGGCATTTTGAAAAGCGATTGCAGGCTGCTAGGAAGAGCTGTTCTCCTCCACTTGCAAGTTTTTCTCCATCTTCCTCTGAAGTGGGAGAAGTGGATGACCAGGGTTACAAGCTTCACCCCCCGCCCCCATCTTCAGTTTCCCAAGCTCTTCTTTCCCAGCAGGAGCTGTGCACGGCCCCCTGCTCCACTGGCACCCTTGCACTTCCAGCGCCCTACGAGCCACCTCTTCACCTCCCAAAGCCCTGGGTGCCACCAGTGCCCACCCCGGGGCCAGGGGAAGCCTGGCAGCAGCTGCCCTCACCCCGGGCTGTGCTTGCCCTTCACATCTCTGCTCTTTTATATCTTGCCTCTTTGCACTCTCCGTCCTGTCCACCTCTTCCCTTTACATTCCTCCCCTTTGCAACTCTGCCTTTGCATCCCTCCCCTTTGTATCCCTCCCTTTTCACCTCCCCCTTTGCACCTCTCTCATTTACATCCCTCCCCTTTGCGCCTCTGCCCCCTTCGCATCTCTTGCCTTTTCCCATCCCTCCCCTTTGCATCTCTGCTCCTCGCATCTCTGCCCCGGTGCACCCCCTGCCCCTCTGCCCCTCGACCCTTTGCATCTTTGCCCCTTTGCACCCCTGCCT